CTCCTCCTCCTCCTCCTCCTCCTCCTCCTCCTCCTCCTCCTCCTCCTCCTCCTCCTCCTCTTCCTCCTCCTCCTCCTCGCAGTAGCGTTGGAGCAGTCGGTGCAGGTGGTGCTGCAGGGCGTCAGGCCGCAGGGCGTCTGGGGTGTCATCCAGACGCTCCAAGTGCACGTGTTTCCCCTGGGCATCCCTCACCACAGTCCTCTTCTGGGTCCGACACTTACGCATCCGACTGCTGCACAAACAGAAAGAGACACGTCAGACGCTCGTAGGACAAACCAGTAAATCATTCCTGCTGACTGATGGACACATACGTAGTCAGGTTATTTCTGGTTTCTAAATGTTTTTCTGTTAGTGGGGGTGAAAGGGGACGTCTCAGTCATGGTTTGGTTCAGTACAGTCATTGTTGGTTCAATGTACCCATCCAAAACATCTGGATCGAACCATCATGGTGCAAATCCAAGTACCGTTACACAACTAATAGTTCTTCATCATAAAGCATGACGTACGGAGGAAGAGGCTGAAGTCTGGCCTTGTCCACCATAGATTAATCTTTGGTCACCCCAATCATTTGAGGGAACTATAATTGTAAGCAACATAAAAACTAGAAAACAGTTTTCTCAAATGATAAGGTGTGGCCAGTTTAAATGGACTGTACTTATATAGCACCTTTCTGTCTCAAAGCGCTTTACACAATCTGTGCCTCATTGACCCATTCATACAGCACTCTACTAGATCTCTACAAAGATTATTGAACAAATCATTCTAAAGAGACTAATCAGAGCTTTATCACATTCATACACTGATGGGACACACATTAGAGGCTATGAGGGGTTCAGTGTCTTGCCAAGGGACACTTCAACGTGTGACTGCTGGTGGAGTCGAACCCCCAACTCTTGCATTGGAAGACAACTGCTCTAACCACTCAGCCACAGCCGCCCGTGTTTACATATAGATATGGTGGTGGCCATCTTGGAGTTTGACTTGGCACCCCATTGTTTGATGGTGACCTTTCTTACACCTCGATGAAGCCACACACCAAAAGTTAGTACCTCACTTGTTTTTCAAGTTCTCTTGACAGACTGACAGATAACTTGAACTTAGCAATGCCTACCTAGGCATTGCCCATTTACACTGCAGCAGTGGACAATAAACTCTGCACTTTTGTCAGACACAGTTTATTGTTGCAAACATCTGTGTTACTACACAAAAGTATGGTGACCATCAACCATTACGCCGATGGTGCCGAGGTCGTGACTGTCAGGACTACTCTGCTCACTCCCACACACGGTAAATTCATTCAACCTTTATTTAGACAGGTTAATCCCATTGAGCCTCGAGGACTCATTTACAAGAGAGACCTGATTTCAACAAAGAATGATGACAATAATGGACAACAACAACAATAGACAGTTATAAAAAGGTTACAGATTTGTTTTTTGTTTACAAAATTAAAATAAGATGGCAAAAACACTAACAAACAGCTAGATTCTAAGACAAATGTAGAAAACTAAAATCAGGAACATGTCTGCATTGGTCCCTGCCAGGAGTCCAATAGATTCTTAAAGCCACTTAGAGAGGTCAAGGTCGAGAGCTTCAATTGTTTTTATAAGCTATTCCAGGAAACAAGAGCGGAGTAGGAGAAGGCTCTTTTACCAAGTTCAGTCCTCACTGAGGGAACACTGCAGGTAATAATGTCCTGAGAGCGCACGCTGTAGCTGCACTCACACAGAGACATGTAGGAGGAGATGTATGAAGGCAACAGACCAAGAAGTGATTTAATATAGGAAATATAATGTACTTACAGGTGCTGGTCATAAAATTTGAATAGCATGAAAAAGTTGATTTATTTCAATAATTCCATTCAAAAAGTGAAACTTGTATATTATATTCATTCATTACACACAGACTGATATATTTCAAATGTTTATTTATTTTAATGTTGATGATTATAATTGACAACTAATGAAAACCCCAAATTCAGTATCTCAGAAAATTAGAATATTGTGAAAAGTTTCAATATTGAAGACACCTGGTGTCACACTCTAATCAGCTAATTAACTCAAAACACCTGTAAAGGCCTTTAAATGGTCTCTCAGTCTAGTTCTATAGGCTACACAATCATGGGAAAACTGCTGACTTGACAGTTGTCCAAAAAACATCTTGCACAAGGAGGGCAAGACACAGAAGGTCATTGCTAAAGAGGCTGGCTGTTCACAGAGCTCTGTGTCCAAGCACATTACTAGAGAGATGAAGGAAAGGAAAAGATTTGGTAGAAAAAAAGTGTACGAGCAATAGGGATAACTGCACCCTGGAGAGGATTGTGAAACAAAACCCATTCCAAAATGTGGGGGAGATTCACCAAGGGTGGACTGCAGCTGGAGTCAGTGCTTCAAGAACCACAACACACAGACATGGGTTTCAGCTGTCGCATTCCTTATGTCAAGCCACTTGTGAACAAGAGACAGTGTCAGAAGTGTCTCGCCTGGGACTGCTGCCGAGTGGCCCAAAGTTATGTTCTCTGATGAAAGTAAATTTTGCATTTCCTTTGGAAATCAAGGTCCCCAAGTCTGGAGGAAGAGAGGAAAGACACATAATCCATGTTGCATGAGGTCCAGTGTCAAGTTTCCACAATCATTGATTGTTTGGGGTGCCATGTCATCTGCTGGTGTTGGTCCACTGTTTTTTTTGAGGTCCAAGGTCATCGCAGCCATCTACCAGGAAGTTTTCGAGACTTCATGCTTCCTGCTGCTGACCAACTTTATGGAGATGCAGATTTCATTTTCCAACAGGACTTGGCACCTGCACACAGTGCCAAAGCTTCCAGTACCTAGTTTAAGGACCATGGTATCCCTGTTCTTAATTGGCCAACAAACTCGCCTGACCTTATTGTGAAGAGGAAGATGTTATACACCAGACCCAACAATTCAGAAGAGCTGAAGGTCACTATCAGAGCAACCTGGGCTCTCATAACATCTGAGCAGTGCCACAGACTGATCGACTCCATGCCACGCCGCATTGCTGCAGTAATCCAGGCAAAAGGAGCAACAACTAATTATTGATGCTGTACATGCTCATACTTTTCAGTTGACCAACATTTCTAAAAATCCTTTTTTATTAGTCTTAAGTAATATTCTAATTTTCTGAGATTCTGAATTTGGGGTTTTCGGTAGTTGCCAGTTATAATCATCAACATTAAAAATATATCAGTCTGTGTGTAATGAATGAATATAATACAAGTTTCACTTTTAGATGGAATTAATGAAATAAATCAACTTTTGCACGATATTCTATTTTTATGACCAGCACCTTTCTATCTGATCAAGACACTCAAAGCTCTTTACAACAATCTGTGCCTCATTTACCTCCAACACACACATTCATACAACATTCTTTCTCTACAAAGATAATCTGAATCTGTAGAGACTAATCAGAACTTTAGATCACATTCATACACTGATGAGACACACATTGGAGGCAATGAGGGGTTCAGTGTCTTGCTCGGGGACACTTCAACATATGACTGCTGGTGGAATCAAACCCGCAACTCTCCCATTGAAGGACGACTGCTCTAACTACTCATCCACAGCTGCCCCAAATATGCTGAACATCGTCACTGACAGACGGCCTTCAGCTGAGAGGAAACAAAAAGCAATGACAGTTCTTTTTAAAGCACCTCCATCTGGCTCTGATGTGGGCAGCAGGGTAAGAACAGAGTGATGTCGCAATATTTAGGAGCAGAAGATAAACACAAGTTCATCAAAAGTGGTCAGATCATTCCTGCATGCTGACTGACATTACCTGGAGCTCACTCAATGTAGGGGAATATTTTTGGGTTGAACAAAAGTAACCCCTCAGCCACATCTGCTTTGGTTAAGTAATAAAACAGCTGTGGATGAGTGGTTAGAGCAGTCGTCCTCCAATGGGAGGGTTGGGAGTTTGATTCCACCAGCAGTCACATGTCAAACTGTCCCTGGGCAAGACACTGACCCCTCCTTGTCTCTGATGTGTGTCCCATCAGTGTATGAATGTGTTCTAAAATTCTCAGTCTCTACAGACTCAGATTATCTTTGTAGAAATCTAGTAGTCATAGGTGTTGCATCTTTTATATGTGAGGGGGATGTGTTCCCCTCACATATAAAAGATGTTCATTTAACCCCTCCCTTCATACACACACACATTTACCATGAAATATTATTTCACTCAACACTGTTTCTATTTCTTAATGAATAAATCCATTCCACTTGATTAATAGGAGAATACTCGAACCACTAAAACTCCACTCCAGGTTTTCCTGGTTACGTACAACTCTTCACAGCAGCAGTGTTTCTCCTCTGTCTCCTGCCTTGGCAGGAAGCTCACAGGGTGAGGAGGAGGAGACACTTTGGTGGTGCTCACTAGTTTAGTGAGCTTAGTGCAGGCAGTTGCTGACCGGCATGGTTAGGATGCTTGAGAGAAGTGGAACGCTACGTCTGTAGCATCTTAGCTTGCGTGTCTGTACTGAGCACGGCTAGCTAGACGCTGTGTGTTAAGGTGCATTAAAGTTGAAATGTCTTTAAACCCACAGCTGTATTTACACAAACTTTGTGAGAAAAGTATAAATTCAGCTGTGGGTTTTAAACAGTGGGTTTTATGCGTGGACTTAAAGTAAGGAAATACGTTATTCTCCTTTAAACATGGGCCATACACCACGGCACAAATACAACCCAGCTTTAAATGTTGTCATCGAGCACTCTGGATTTGAGCGACAGTAATGTTTCCGAATGAATGGCTTTACCGCAGTCATTAAAATACACCAGAATGCAGGAAATGGCATCTACTTTATTCAAAATGTATGTGTGGAGGCAAATGAGGCACAGATTGTGTTGTAAAGAGCTTTGAGTATCTTGATAAGATAGAAAGGCGCTCTGTAAGTACAGTCCATTTACCATTTAATAACAAGACAAAGATCCACTTGTGCAGAGCTAAACCCTGCTTCTCACAATAAACACGCTACAATCACACCAGCCACAGACGGGACAGAGTTCCTGCATTTTCGTTATTTCATATCAGTTATTCTTGAACAGAACCGGCTGAGAAAACAACACCATGAGCTTTAATGTCAGCTAATGTAAGTTATTTGGTTGTTTTGTGAGTTTGAAATGAGACAAAAGTCAAAATACCACAAAACCCACAAAACTGTTTTTGTTAAAAAAAAAAAGAATAAAAGAAACAACACTAAATATAGAAAGGTCTTTAACATTTTTCATTTTATCAAAATTAGTATTTATTTCATCTCACTGGAAAATAAAGAGCAGAGTGCCACCTAGTGTCGAGCATGTTAACAGCCTATCATTTTTAGTTTGATAATAAAAGTCAATGTCTGTCATGTCAAGGTTAATGGGAGCTCTGAAGCAGACACAGGAAACGAAACAACTGGAGAAAACTTCAGCTGTGCAGTGGAATGGTCCAAAGCCCGGACCTCCTCTGTGGGTTCAGATTGCAGGTTTGTGTTTCAAAGAATATTTAAACACAGCTTAGTCAGCATTTGTTGTTTAATGACCCCGAGTGTCAGTTTGAGTCAAAGCTGTGCCCTTCAAGCAGTTCTGATCCAGTTTGGAAGGTTAGGACCAAATCACAGCAAGTCCATGCAGTCCAACCTTTTAACCACAGAACCATCGTCCTGCTCAACCTCCTTCTCCACCACCTGAGGCAGGAGCACGTTCCCAAAGCCTCCGGCATAACTCAACGCCTGGAGGAAGACCAATGAGAAGGGAGGGGGGGGGGGGGCGCATGGGTCCAGTCACATCAGACACCTGTAAAGCCTCTGTTCCACCAACACATCCAGACTCTTGGTGTCAGAACTGTTGTTTTTGGATACTGACCTTCTGAAAGTCATCCCGGGCTGAGGGGAGGTCTGTAGCCAGGGAGTGGTCTCCTCTCTGCTTCTCCGTCCTCTCGCCTCTCACCACCGTCGTCTTCACCACCTTACTGACCTTTCGGCCCTGGACTGGCTCCGCCTCGAACGCTGAGGCTGTGGCAGTGCCCAGAACCCGAGGTTCAGTGAAGGTCAGCTGCAGACAAAAGAAGTTTGTTCTCTTATCTATAAAGGAATGGGACTGTACTTATACAGCTTCTTTCTGTCTTATCAAGACACTCAAAGCTCTTTACACAATAATCTGTGCCTCATTCACCCATTCATACAGCACTCCACTAGATCTGTACAAAGACTAATCAAAGCTTTAGAGCACATTCATACACTGATGGACACATATCAGAGGCATTGAGGGGTTCAGTGTCTTGCCCAGGGACACTTCGGCATGTGACTGCTGGTGGAATCAAACCCCAACTCTCGCGTTGGAGGACGACTGCTCTAACCACTCAGCCACAACCGCCTAATATTCTGGATATTCTGGGCATTGTGACGTGGGACTCTGTGGAAAGATTATGAGTAAAAAACATCTAACCTACAGTAGATAGCTTGTTTAAATCCTCTGTTTTAGTTCAGGTCTAACAGGACGGATGAGCTAATGGCTAGTCTGAGTGCAGCTAAGAACAAAGATGGCAGCTGTCCTTAAACAACTCCACTCTAACCTTTCTTTGTGCAAACGCTGTCAGTTTCATGTTACACTCTTGTTTACACAGAACTCTCTGCTTATAAGTTAGTGGCAGCTGCAGTTAGCAGTAGCACCTGTGCTGCTGTCTGGGCCTTTGTAGGTGTTGTTTCTGTTGAAATAACTGTGTGATGGTAAACTGATGGTGTTGTAAAGGGCTGGGAAATGTTTGTATGAACTGATTTGATTTGTTGCAGATTTGAGCAGACCACTTTGACAGTCTCTGACTAGCCGTTAGCTCATCAATACAATCCAAGCAGACCCACTTCCATCACAGATTAGTGCCATCCCAAGATGACCCCACTCTTCAGATCACCACAAGGTCATGAAAACAATATTAAACTTTTGCATCACTGATGAAGTCCTTTGGATGAAAGACAAAACATCTCAGCAAAAAAAAAAAAAAAAAAAAAACTGTCCAGATGACCTGGCTGAACATTGTTGGATTATTACCTGGATTATTGTGCATGAATTTTGATGTTTTGAACCACTTTGGCAAGGCTGCCTCAGAGGAGTTGACAGAAGAGAGGACTGGTCCCAGAAACCAGCTTATCACCAGCAAACTGTTTTTTTCCCACTATGGGAGTGTACTGTTTGTGGAACTCAGTTTGTTTGTGGCTCCTCGGATTGATGAAGTCCTTCTTTTTGAAGAATGAAACTTCTCAGGGGAAAAAAAAAATCGTCCAAATGACCTGAAGTACATCCTGAAAGTACTCAGTGCTTCTCTTTTTTTTTACATTGTGTGTCAGCGTTTTTCCAAATTAGATTAAATATACGTTTTTTTTCCTCAAACATTTACAAACAATAAAGTCCATGCTCAATAATCCAGGTATACAATCCAACATTTTTCAGTCAGGTCATCTGGACAGTTTCTTTTTTTTTTGCTGAACGGACCGAAGGCAAAACGTTTCAGCAAAAAAAAGAAACTGTCCAGATGACCTGACTGAAAAATGTTGGATTTACAAACAATCCTCTGTATTCAGTAGAAGTTTAACATCTCTATCTATCTATCTGTCTGTCTTAATTCTTAGTTCATATCTTAGATCTTATTACGTTTTTTCCTTTACAATTTATACTTTTGTTGGATGTAACTGGGACCCTGTGTACATAATTTCATTCCACCTCATGTGGTGTGTATGATAATAAAGAAACCTTGAACTCTCTGTCTCTCTCTCTCTGTCTCTCTCTCTCTCTCTGTCTCTCTCTCTCTCTCTGTCTCTCTCCCTCTCGCTCTCTCTCTCTCTCACCTCAGCTGGAGAAACAACACCACCAGCCTGATTACGAAAGCTCATGAGAGACTAATTCCTCAGGTGGCTGAGACGAGCTGGTCTGGGAAGCTCAGTCCTCACCTCCTTTTCCAGGTGTGCAGTGGAGAGCATCCTGTGCTCCAGCATCAACGTGTGGCATGGAGGCTGCACAGAAGACCGCTGGAGTCAGTCTCCCCACCGTCACAAACATCTAAACCTCTGGATGCAGGAAGAGGGCCATCTGCATCATGAAGGACCTCACTCACCCAGCACACACACTTTTTGCCCCACTCCCCTCAGGAAGGAGGTTGAGGAGCATTAAGTGTAGAACCACTAGACTGAGGAACAGCTTCTACCCTGATGCTTTAACTCATGAATCTCTAACCAGGAAAATCACTGTAAGAAAAAAAATCAGTGTAATGCCATATTAATTGGTGATATGTGACTTCTCTCATGCTGCTTTATTCATTCATACCCATCTACTCACCTCAGACTCATGTTCAGGCTGCTGTTGTTACGGCATATTGTTTAACAACATTAGTATTTAGCGTATATCTTAGATCTTTTAGTGTACAATTTGGTGTTTGTTTAGTGTATATTCAGTTAATTTTTTTCAGTTTATTTATATAGCACCAAATCACAACAAAGTTGTCTCAGGGCACTTTATATATATACTATATCTTAGATTCTTATTACTGTTTCATTTTACACTTTATATTTTTGCTATTTTCAGGTGAAACTGGGACCCCGAGTACATAATTTTGTTCCACCTCATGTACCACATGTGATGTGAATGACAATAAAATTTACTTGAACTTGAACTTGAAAAGCTGAAGGAACCTATAAAATGGGGCGTCCTCCTTGACAATGAGCAGAGGACATTTGTATTTGGACAGTGCTCCCTTTCTGTGTCCTCAACCCTCTTACTGAACATTGGTCCAGGTGGAGGTTGCTGGATGCTTCTACTGCTCCCATGGTACTAGGCTGAGACTGATGAGGAGGATGATGATGGTGATGGCCTTCAATCAAACTGTGGAAACATCTGAAGGATGATCAGTGGAAGCAGGATGTGCCTGAGCTCAATTCTGAGTGTCAATGCAAAAGCTGTGATTAACTATGTGGACATTTTTTTTTTAAATTTGCAAAAATAAATAAACTTTTTTTTTTTAATCCATTTGGTGATTATGGGGTTTTGTATGTAAAACTTTGAGAGGAAAAATCCATATTTGAAGATGCTCTGTACATGTTCCTGAGAAACTGATGAAGATGAAAAGGTTTTAAAAATGAGTGTTCACATGACCCACAATGCAATTCTGCACACTGTCACAGTTTTAAGACTGCAACAATCTTGATTGTGTTCAGACTCGCCTTTAGCTCATAAGTTGTTTCAGAGTGTAACACTTTTTTTTTGCCAAACCGAAGATAGTCAAACAGCTATCTACAGATGGATGACTGAAGTATGCCTTTAAAGGACTTATAGGAAACATTTTAACCAGCTGGAAGAGAAGAATAAAGGCTGTGTTAGAATGCAAATTTTCCTGGAACCATTCTGAACTCGAGTATACAACAGAGCTGCCAGCGAAAAACTCTCCTCCAGGGATCCTTACCCATCTTTAGCTTATTCAAGCTTTTCTTTTGGTTACAGCTTTCCTTTCCTACTCAACACAAGTCATAAAGACGGCCCTTTATAAAAATTTAAATATCTGAAATGCAGCAAAACAGTCAGGTTCAGGATAAGCTGAATGCCAGAGAACACAGTGGTCAGGATTACAAGACTCCTGCAATCAAAGCGTGTCAGAGCAGCAGCTGTTGGACCCCCACCTCCTTCTGATCTCCCTCCGTGTGGAGCACCGTTCTCTTCACCACTCTGGACACAGCATCTCCCTCCTCTATCTGCACCATCTCCTGGTGAGAGCCCTCAATGCTCACATCCTGTGTCTCTGAGCCGTCCGGAGACATATACTTGCGGATCACCTTCCGTGTGATCTGGTGGAAAATAGAGCAAGACAAGTTCTACAAAAAAAGCCCAGTCATTCTAAAGTCTGGATCTCCTGATTCTAGGTTTTATATGTTCCTTACTTTCTTCACTACCATGTTGCCGTGCTCGTCTGTGTACTTCTCTTCAGTGACGGTCTGTGGGGGGATGTCTGGCAGATTATCAGCCTGCAAAATACCCAAGACCCAAGCTGTCAGTTCAGAGTTCTGGGTACATTTGACATGAAATTAGCTGCACATGGCTTTCATTTTAGTTTAACATTACTCAGTCAGAACCAGCAGGTCTACGAGCTGTTTTAAGACTCCCTTCACAGTGGATGTTAATGCTGTTATGACATTAATAAGCAATATGCCGATGTCTCTGAGGGATTTGAATAGTGAATGTTTGTAGTTCTGGAGATGAGTATTTTTCTGGACTAGAATTGAACAGGGAATGCAAGTAAAGCTTAATGTTTTGGTGCAAGATGTTCAAGTGGGTAAGAGTTACACTGTGGAGAAGAGAGGGAAGTTTATTTATTTATTTTTTCTTGGCCAAGGCAGCACTAAGTGACAGCTCCTGGAGAGTGGAGGGAGACATTTTACCCACCACCAAGTTCAACGGTGGAGCCAGGGGGTGGTCAATAGTTACCACCATAGGCTAATGTTTGGCCACACCAATCAATTGAGAAAACTATACCTTTTAAGCAATATAAAAACTAGAAAGCATAGTTTGGCAACTAGTTTTTGACAGTGGCTACGCCAAGTTGTAGCCACATACCAAAAATGGAACTTGGTACCTCACTTATTCTTTAAGTTATCATGATAACAACAAAGATGAATGGATGAATGGATGGACAGAGAGTGTTTACAATTCCCTCACTTCACTATGCAATGGGAACAGGTAAAATCAGCCAGAACGTGTATTTTCTTTGCAATTTTGATGAGGTCTTTAGGGATGTATTAAGAACATAGTGGGCTTGCCATTAAATGTGATGGAGCATGATAGGTTGTGGAGGGTTTTAGGCATGCACAAAACTCTTTAATTGTTGTAGTGGTTTATCATTGTGGTGGCAGCATATTGGGGTCCTGGTTAGAGCATGGTGGCAGAGGTAAATGGTAAATGGACTGTACTTAAATATCGCTTTTCTATCATATCAAGATCCTCAAAGCGCTTTACACTACAATCTGTGCCCTCATTTATCCATTCGTACAGCACTCTACTATTTCTGTACAAAGAATAATCAGTGCTTTATCACATTCAAACACCGATGGGACACATATTGAAGGCAATGAGGGGTTCAGTGTCTTGCCCAGGGACACTTCAGCATGTGAATGCTGGTGGAATCAAACCCCCAACTCTTACATTGGAGGATGACTGCTCTAAACACTCAGCCACAGCTGCCGTACCGAGATAGAAGTACAGCCTTGGCACAGGACCGCACATTACGGTGGCTTGGTAGTCAAAGGTTTGAAGCAGAACGGGCCTGATACCCAGTCTATACCCCATCATGCCATCAAGTTATTGCCACACTCTTAGTGGAACAGCTACTCTGAGGATTGTGTCCGGACCAGGAAGAAAGAAGAGTGGATGTGGGCCACAGAAAACCCATTCACATACAGCATAGCATGTTGCTGATGGTGTTTCCAAGGCTAAAACTAATGGTGGGAGGCTCAGAAACCTCCAATGTATTAGCAAAATATGATATAGTCGAGGAAACAATTTAGTGAATACATGATATCCATGACATCATTCTAATGTAGCATGGTCTTCAGGTGTGTACATTAGATGCATCCTGTCTCAGTCCAAGAGAACTGTACCTTGGCAGGGCTTAGGCTCTGAACATGCTGCTGATTGAGTGTGGTGAGGTTGCAGGGGAGCATCACGGAGATGTGCAATATAGCAGGAAGTATCCTTATGGTGAGTATGAAGAGTGTAGCAGAATCATGATTGCTGAAGGGGGATTTTAAAAATTGGTTCTGACCAGCCACGTTCTAAAATATTGTGTAGGTTGAGGAGAGCATAGCAGTTTCCGTATCCAATGTGAAGGGTATACAAAGCATTGTTTGATTTCTTAGCCTGAAAATAAACTGGTGGAAATTAATTTCTTGAATCATTTAGTGCCCAAGTCAGCAAAAAGTGAACAAAATTATTTACCACCCACAAGTAAATTGATATCATCAACACAGATGGTTTTGTAATGGAACAAAACAGATGCAGGATAGAGTAACAAAGAGTAAATAAACAAATATTAAACAGAATATTTGACATTTTCCGTCTGGATTTTTTTATTTCTGTATTTCAAGACAATAATTTATGCCATGTGAATTTTTGAACAGTTTTTATAGTTTCCAATAACTCTTAGAAGTCTTGCTCAACAAAAACACCCTTCCAGAGCTGTGCCATGCTTTCTTTTACCTGAATGATAATTCTGCGTCGTACCACTCTGGTGGTCAGCACCTCTTCCTCTGAGCTATCAGAGGACAGCATACCTAGCTCCTCTGCTATCTCCTGGTAGACAGCACACAACCAGCACGAGTCAATCACTGAGTTGCTAATGCCACACACTCCTGCAGACAGCCCATGCTTCAGCTTTTCTCTTAACCTCACTTTTAGATTCCATTTGCCAGAGAAACCATTTTTTACATTTTTAAAAGGTAATAAAATAAAACACAGTTTAAAAGCAGCATGTGCAAGTGATGTGAGATGAAGAGAAGACCCAGTAATGCAAAAATATTTAGTTAAAACAACCGTGCAGGGATCTGAGCTAGAGTACAACATATGATGGCTTTATAAGGGAGAGGTAAAATATCTCAAAACATAAGAGTAAAGGAATACAGAATGGTCAGGGTATTCATTTTACACACTGGTGGAAACAACAGCATGCAGAAACCAAACAAAGTGAAAGTCAGCAGTTTGTAAATATCAACGTGTCAAAGTAAGGAACAGCTCATTTATTTCAAAGCAAGAAAAGTTTGAGTCTTTTTCCACTCTTCTTCATTGTTTTGGCTCTCATGCACTCAAAACACAGCCTCCTTTAGTCCAGTAAGAGTGATATTAATTTCCCAAAATGTTAATGCAGCGTCACAGCAGTCAGCCTGAAACCAGGTAATTCACGAGCCAAGGCAGTGCTGCACTCATGCACAACCTCTTACCCTTCCCATGGAGTCGTCATCATCATAATACCCTGCCTGATCTCTAGAGGGAAGCTCCTCACATGTGTGGATGTCACCCTTTGTGGCACACTCCTGTGAAGCTTCTGAATCATAATCAAGGTCGCCAAGACTTTCACTGCCAAAAGAGAATCGTCTGGGATCTCCAACTTGAAGAAAGGGTTGCGTTGAGAACTCACAGCTAACTTTCAGGGTACCCATATCAGAAGTTCTTGGTTTGGGGGATGGGGGTTCAGAGATATGATAAGCAGCCTCATGCTCTGGCTCTTCTACGTCATCTGGTTCAGAAAAATCTTGTCTGCAATCAAAGAATTCTTGATCTGAATCAGAGTGTTCTAGAGATTTGGAGACCTTTCTTGAGTCCATTGATTGGAGTTTTGGATCCTGCAATTGGAATTCTAACGCTGTTCTCTCAAAATCCGAGAGGACTCTCTTAAAGTCAGGAGAAAACTGAAAGTCCTCAACAACTTTAGATACTTCGTCAATGTTATCTTGAGTTGCAGGCTGTGCTGAGCTGAAGTCACTGAACACTGGAGACAATGGACTCAAATCATCAGAGGAGGCTTGACTATATTGAGAAACTATCAGGGTTTGATCCCCTGAAAATACTTCCTTGTAATCTGGGGGTACCAAAATCTGGTCTGACATTGGTGAAAAAAGTTCACTAGATTGTGCTCCTTTAGGGGATAACTCCCACTCTGAGTACCCACGAGGCACGTCTGACTCTTTATATGAAGATTTCTCAAATGTTGGCAGAACTGGAGTAACAGTCCGATGTGTTCTGTGTGAACTCTGCGCAGGTAGTTGTATAGGAAGGGATGTAACTTGCTGATCATCAATAAACAGCCCTCCTATTTTAGTGCCACCTTTTGTTGGCGGTGTAGCAGACAGTTGCTTGATTTTGATACCATCACATGGAACCTGTAAGTGAAATGATCTTTATAAGTCAGCTCTAAATCAACAGAAAGCTTGTATGCACCTTTAAAATTTACTTCTGCATTTTAAACCAGTCAACACATCACAGACCAGCACAGCATGTGTAGCCACAACATGCAGCTTTCATGATAAGCCATCACCAAGCAAACAAATCACAACAATCGGTATGCCAATGTCCCCCGTCACTGAGGGATTTGAATAGTGAATGTTTGTAGTTTTCAAGACGAGTGTTTGTCTAGACTGGAATTGAACAGGGAATGCAAGTAAATCTAAATGTTTTTGGTGCAAAATATTTAAGTGTGTAGAAGTTACACTATGTAGTAGGTTCTTTTCTTTTTTGCTTGTCCAAGGCAGCGCAGTGTGACAAATCATTGCAAGTGGAGGGAGTCATTTCATTCACCAACAAATGCAGTGGTGAAGCCAGAGGGTGGCCGATGGTGGCCTTGGCCACCAGAGAATAATTTTCATCCACACTGAGGACCATCCCAATCATTGGAGGAAACTACTTTTAAACAATATAAAAACTAGGAGTCATAGTTTCTTCAAATGACTGGGGTGGCTGGTTAACATATAAATATTGTGATTGTCATCTTGGATTTTGATTTGGAAATCCAGTTTTTGATGATGACCAGTCTTACTCCTAGAAGTTGCTGCACACTAAAATGAGTGTAATTTCTTATTTTTCAAGTGATCATGCTCACAACATGTATTGATGGATGGATGAAGGGTATTTCCAATTACCATTTTTCAATCCATGACAGGAAAATTATAAAGGATAGCTTCCTTCAATCTTTGATAGTGACCATTCTTGTGCCGAGATGATGCAGCTACGCACCAGGTGAAGTCACAGTGGAACTCGGCATGTTGCTTATTTTTCAAGTTATCCAGCTCACAGGATGTATGGACATTTATGGTGGCAGTCATGTTGGAATTTGTTGTGTTAACACAGTTTTTGATAGGGACCGTTTTTATGACTTTATGGTAGCCACTTACCAAAAGAGAATTTGGTACCTCACTTCTTTTTTTCAAATTATCATGCTAACAACATGCACAGACGGTTGAACGGACAGAGGGTATCTCCA